TCATGCTTCATCTTCCAACCATCAAGTTACTTCATACATAATGGGGAAGAAGATAGTCATAACTGAGGACATCATTGCAAGATTAATAGGCTACAATGGTGGTGGTGTACGATGCATTGACATGGCTGAAAGATGCGCTGATGTCGCCATAATTGCTAGAGAAATCTTCACTCTGGGTCTTCCCTCCAGCAAGATAAGGGATCTAAAAGACCATCACAGAATATGGGCCAAGATTATTCTGGGATGTATAAACCACATGAAGCCTACCAGCTTTCCTGACTACATCAATACTGATCAACAATTTCTGATCTACTTCATCTCCCAGAAGATTAAGGTGAATCTGGCTCACCTGCTGTTTAACCATCTAAGGACTAGTGTTAAAGAAACCAGAGAAGAGGAGCGCACAAAAAGGGACTGGATACCCCTAGGAAGGCTTATATCAGATATTCTAACAGAGAATAAGTTGATTGATCATCTAACAGAAGCTCAAGAAATCAGCTCTTTGGAAGCTACTGTTGGCAAACAGTTGAATACAAAGAATCTGAAGAAGATGAAGTTAATTGAGAACATCAAGAAGGAACCCAGTGTCACTTCTTTTGCAACAATATCCAGCAGAAGAATCCCTCTGGATAACTTTCCATTGTTCTCAGAGATTGATTCTAAACCTGATATAATAGTCAGATATCTGGATGCATGCAAGGCGGATGGTACAGCACCAGATTTGAACATTCAGGATCTGCAGCAGAAGGCTCCAAAAGTTGTGCTGAAGAAAACCAAGAAAAGGAAAGCTGTAGCAGAAGGATCATCCCAGCGGACTCCTAAAAAGAGAGGTAATCCTTCTTCTGTAACTGTTTTAAACTCAATTTCTGTATCAACATCTATACCAATTCCCACTCAATCAGAAAACCCCACACCACAAACATTTGATGACTTTGACATTGAATTCGACCCCTCAGAAACCTTAAATCTTAGAAAATCTGGCTCCCTACCTCCAAATCCAAATATTGAAGCAACCCAACAAGAACTTGCAAAAGTTCTATCAGACATAGAAACCTTTGACCAACATACTTCTGCTCCCATGTCAGAAAATCCAAACTCTGAAACCACCACAGAAGCGCCACAACCAGAAATTCCCCTCTCTCCATAACCAGAAATGCCACTACCTCCATCTCCTCAACCAGAAATTCATCCACCTTCTCCACAACCTGAACTATTTCAACCTGAAGTTCAAACTTCTGAGGCTCAACCTTCTGAATCCTGTGAACCAGAACCTCATAACGATCAATCAAACCAAACTGTTGATTCTAATACCATTCCCATTCCTGGAATCACTGAACCTCTGGCCATCTGTATGCCCCTAACCATCCTGTATATTCCCCAAATTCCCTCTTCACTAGAATCAACTCCACCAAACTCACCAACTAGTCCAATAATAATTCCAGACTCTCCCACTCCCTCACCAAAGAACAATCCAGATGACAACATCAAGACTGTCATTGATTTAACAGTTTTTGAACGTCTTACTGCCATAACCCACAAAAAAGCTATTCCAAAACCAAAACCATCTGAACCCTCTCCAGATGTTGGTACCAGCTTATTGATATTTGAAACAGAAGTACAGAAGTGGATCACTTCTCTAAAGCAAGCTAGTCTTGAGCTGATTGATCCTACTGCATCAGACTACCTTTGGACAAGGTTCAGAAGATGGGTATGTTCTGAAACTCGTAAGATGCAGGAACAGAGCTACGGACAAGTTCAACAGAACTTCAGTAATCTGCTAAAAGTAATTGAAGATCAAGTTCTGAGCCAGTTGCTCAAGGAAGAAGTTCTCCCTCTGGACAATGCTCCCCGGTCTGAACATCGTCTAGCATAAAAAGTTCAACCAGAGTCATAAGATCTCAATTTGACTGATACTTCAGAGCAGATGATTCCTGCTGAAGAACTGGGTCAAAAAGAGGATATTGCAGAATGCTCTGAGAAGCATCCAATTATTGAAGATCCTCCAGCTTCCTCCTATGAAAGGCAGACTCTAGAAGACCTGAAAAGATCTGATATTTTGATGAAGGAAAGAATGGATAAACAGGATGAAAAAATTGAGGTAATCACGAGCATGTTAACCAAGCAACAGGAAACCAACACCCAGATCAAGAGCATGTTGGAAGCCTTGTTCACGCGTCTACCTCCTCACTCTTAGATTTTCCTCGTTTTTAAAACATATTTATCTGTAATATTCTTCCATTGTTGTTATTCTGAACTTTTCGTTGATTCTGGTCTTTAATATAAATGCATTTTGGCTCTGATTATATGTTCTTTTTGATAACTGACAAAAAGGGGGAGAAAGAATAAGATATTTTTCAATAACGGATTACTGAGACATGTCTCAAACATTCTGATCTATTTAAATTTCTCTCTTCTGAAAAGCTTGAACAGGTACAAAACTCTGATGAAAGATACAGTAAGGTTCTGATGCTCAAAGACTCATGGAATTAAAGGGAAGTAATCAACTCAGGGGGAGTTTCTCTTCTTAATTCTATACTTTTTATTCTTTATTTTTAATTGAAAAATCTGTTTTTTGTCATCATCAAAAAGGGGGAGATTGTTAGAACATAGTTTGATTCTACAACCCTTGATTAGAGTTTTGATGATAATAAAATACAAAGAATAAATAAATTCAAAGATATATATATATATATATATATATATATATATATATATATATATATATATATATATATATAAAACAAATATGCTTCTTAAAATTATGTTTTGTATATACAGAAGTTCTGATGGAATCAGCATCAGAAGATCAGTAATATGTGCTACACGCTGAAGCTACTAGATTATACGCTGAAGCTTGATGACCAGAATCTGCGCATAAACAAATACACTCTGACTCTGATCAAAGATCTTCACCAAGACATCAACACTCTGAAGCGTTATCATAAGTTAAAGCAAAGAAGACTCTGAATCGTTATTAATTATTCAAGACAGAATTAAATGCTAACGACTCTCTTCAGACAAGATCTTCTTCAAAAGGAAAGTGCGTTATTGTCATTAAACTGGATTTATGGACAACATATCTTTGCCTTGCCTATATAAACAAGTCTGCTTGAGAAAAGACACACGCATGCACTCACATGATTTTCCAAGCCTTCAAAACCATGCTTATTCAAACGCTTTAGCAAATTCAGTTTATTCCAAGCTTAAGTTGTGTAATTATCACAGTTGTGATATATTGTGTTGTTAGAAAACGTTAACACATCCTTGTTCAATTATTTGTAAAAGATTTCCTTGAGATAAACTGGTTTGTGGTTATACTCAAGAAGACTTTAACAGTTGTTAAAGTAGCTGTTGTAATTCTTTGAGAATAGTGGATTAAAGACTTCTATATATCCATTTAAAAATGCACTTTTAACATCCATTTGATATAATGAAATGTTATTTTAAACAACAAAAGAAATTAATAATCTAATAGATTCTAACCTGGCGACTGGGGCAAAAGTTTCATTATAATCAATTCCTTCTTATTGACTATAACCATGTGCAACCAGTCGTGCTTTGTTTTTGACCACCTTTCCTTGCTCATTGTTGCAACTGGTTTTTAGATAGAGTCACAACCCTTAATTTTTATCCTAAAGGAAGGGAGTATAAAGGAGTAACCCTAAAGGAAATTCATAGATTCTAAGTTTGACTCGGTTCTAGACGAGGGGAAGGTGTTAGGCACCCCTTGTCTACCTTGTTCACAAGGATACTAGGTTTAGAGGTGTGTTTTTAGGAAATAGGGTTTTAATTATTTATGGGAAAAGGGTTTGAATTTTAGTTAGCGGGACTCGCAACAATTTTTGCTTATGCCTACGTATCCTCCTTAGGAGGAATCAGAGTCTCATTTTCGTAGTTCGCGGTTGGTTGGTGTGTTTTATATGGTTGCGTAGAATTGTTTCCGAATTATCCTTGAACTTTGTCTGGGTTGTAAATTGAGTGATTGTAGACACAGTTCGCAGTTAAATTTGAAATTAATTCTCCTTAATCCTTTTATGAAAATATTCTTGAGTTTTGTTATGTTAGTAGAAAAATGATTTATTGTTGATTAACTGTTTTGATGTTTTGATTCGATTAACGAGTGTGATGAGACATTGAGCGGGGGAGTCTGATATAGTGTCTTCCTCACGTGGCCAGATATTGACCACATGTTACCCCTCATGAAGGATGCAGAGGAAGTCTGATATAGTCTTCTTCACCACGTGGCAAGATATTGGCCACGTGTCGTTCGCAGATTGAATATTTAGAATGTTGCATGGGTTTTAATATTTTTATAAAAATATTGAATTAATTGATTTGTAGAATAGATGTTTGTAAATATGAATTCTTATTATTATATTTTTGATTATAATGCAACAAAATACAATAATATAAATATCGGCAAAAATAAATTGAATGAAGGAAATAAGAGAGGTGAAAGATCGAGATGAAAGGTGCGAAGTTAGTAAAGAAAAAAGTTGTAACCCAAAGACCCAAAAGACCAACCAACACCACTCTAATTATATCTTAACTTAATTTAATAATTAAAAAAATAAATAACTAAAAAATAAAATATGAAATAGGAAAAATGGGACGGTGCTACCTGTTATTTTCTTTGATCAGAAAAAGAATAATAATTAGATATATAAATTGACTCTTTAATGCTTTCCTTCGCCAATGGTTTCAAGACACATGTCCTCAAATAAGACAAAACTATAAAAATGGGATGAAATAAACAAACCCTTGTGAACGATATCAGAAGAAAGAAAAACACAAACATTGTTTTTTCTTCTTCCTTCCACAATCCATTTCTTTTCTCTCCCATCTATTTTCAATCTTCAAAAACAAAACCCCGGCTCCTGCGATTTACAATAACAAGATCAAACATAAAAGATAAATAGTGAATCGTGGTTACCTATAGGAATTGGAATTCACGACGGATTTGTGATAGATGGGATTTCCGATCAGGAGAGGTGACGGTCGGGGAGTATTCCGACGAGGGATAGCTGCGAGCTGGTGCCGTTTCGGTGATGAGAAGCTCCCGGTCGGTGGATGAAACGCTGCGATTTCGGGCGCCGGTTTAGAGGCAGGTTGCGACGGTGGTAGTCGATATTGCGGTGATTTTCTGTTTGTTTTGTAGTTGGTGACTTTGAACCTTCACTGTAAAATAAATCTTTGAGTCCGAACAATGATTTATGTGAGGTGATAAGAATGAACAAGAATCTACAAAAGAATTGACTCACTTTTATAAAATGATATACAAGAACATGATGAAAATTTGAAGAAGAATATGCATATATCATAAGTTTGGTCAGATATTTCTAAATTAACGTTGGTGTTCTTCTGGTGTTAGTATGTGCTTTTCACGTGAATGAAATGTGTAAATTTGTTCAGCGTGAATTTGTTAATGTACAAGTAGGAATTTTTTTTACATGAATAGATTATTTACGAGAGAATGTTAAAAAACGTAATTGACAATAGAATTGGTGTTTGGCCTGTCGTGTAAAAATTATGTTTGTACTGTAGAAATTATTTATGTGAAAAATAGGTTTCAACTTAGCCTCCAATATGATAATCTGACAATAAAATTTTAAGACAAAAATATTACCATTAGAATGAGATCATAGTGAATATAAAATAAGGTTGAAAATTGTTTAATATAAACAAAAATAGTTTCAAAGAAAACGAAGAACGATCGTCGGGATCATCATCCACTTAAAATAACAAATAAATCATCAAAAAGTAAAAATTGAAAATAGGAGGGAGGGTGACCTCATATTAAATCATCGGCCAAAACAAAAACCTAAAATAGAAAAATTGAAAAGAAATTGCAAAAATATTTTATAAAAGTGAAACTGTAAAATTGTTGATGAATTGTGGATTTGTGGAAATTGTGAATGATCTAGAAGTGTGAAAAACATGTCTTATTTATAGATGAAAAAACCATCCAAATTGGAAATAAGACAAATTTGACCAATCAAAAATAAAGTGTGACACAAATTGACACCAAATGGGCAATAAGAAACACCAATTTAAAAGGAAAGAAAATTAGTGACAAAAAACAGAAAAAAAATAGAAAATGTTAAAAGTGCGGCACAAGAGATTCAAACCCGCGACCTTATATTTGTAAGCTTCATCATTTACCAATTGTGCTATGTTACTCATTTGTAAATAAACTCAATTGAAAGTATATGAAATGTATGAGAATATTTATTTATTCAAAAATAAAAATGATCTGAAATAAATCATTATATTTTTAAACAGGTTTGGAAGTGAATATTTTATAAAAATAAAATGATATTTTTAAATCAATAATTAAAATATTTTTTACTGTTGAAATAAAGGGTGGGCAAATTTGGGGTATGACACTCATTTAGTTTGTTTCTGAAAACCCATTTAGTTCCTATAATGTTGAATCATTTAGGTCTTGGAACTAGATCCCATACATCGTTTCTGGAAAATTGATTGAGTTCATCTTCCATTGCTAAGATCCAAACATTGTCTTTCAGAGCTTCATCAATAGAGGTTAGCTCAATCAGAGATACCAATCCAAACAATGATTCTTCATTGATTCTGAGAGAGGATCTTGTTCTGATGGGATCTTCTTTTCTTCCAATAATCACGTCTTCTTTATAAGCTAAAGAGATTCTGGGAAACCTTTTCTGAGTGGGTTGTTCAGAGATTCTGAGATTATCCAGAGCATTGTCAAGAGGAGGATCTTCTGAGTCTTCCTTTGCTTCTGAGTCTTCCTTTGCTTCTGACTTTTCCTTTGCTTCTGACTTTTCAGAGTTTGAGAGATGATCTTCTGTACCTACAGAAATATCAATTTGCTTTGGCTGTTGCTGGCCAAGCTTGTCATCAAACTTGACTTTGATTGATTCTTCAACAATCATAGTTTATGTGTTGTATACTCTATAGCCTTTTGAGCGTTCAGAATATCCAAGCAGAAAACACTTTTGTGCTTTAGAATCAAACTTGTTCAGATTTTCTTTAGTGTTCAGAATAAAACAAGTATATCCAAAAAGATGGAAATATGAGATAGTTCTAATGGCCTAGAGGAAGAAACAACATTTTTGATTTAAAAGAAGGTTTTGAAAATTTTCCTTTTTGATAAGCTTCGCACAGAGTTTCTGATGCTGTATTTCCATTCCTGTTTCTAATAGATTCAGAGCCAGTAGCTTTTGTTTCTGATTGCCTCTGAAATCTACGAATCCTTTAAATTCCAGGTTTTGGAACATATGCTTTATTTCCTCCATGTGTAGAGAGCATCCAGAGTCCAGGTGTTAATACTGGAGTTTCAACCTTGTTGTTAAAAATATCTACAACATAGATGATTTTGTCTTTTGGTACCCATATCTTTCTGGGTCCATGACTGTTTGAATTTTGGTTTAGTATAAAATGCCTTACCAGCATGTTTTATATCATGTGTTTGCTCAGTGGTGAATTGAGAATAGAGAGGAGTGCGTTTGATAACCAGATCCTTAAATTTCTTAGGTTGGGATACTTTGCCCTTTTATCCTATATCTATTCTGTCGTTCTTGCTAACTCCATAGATCATTGAAACCATTTTGCTTCTATCTATGTTTTTAGCCAGAAACTTCTGAAAGCTTTGATCATATTCCTTTATGGTCTTATCAGCATTACTGGGATCCTTTGAGATTATTTCCTTCTGAGAGTTTTTTAAATTATTTTCTAGTTTTGAAATCTTTTCTTTTAACTCAGAGTTTTCTGATCTCAGACTCTCAGTTTCTTCAGAGTCAGAAGCAAGATCCTTTTTCAGGTTCCTAAATTTGACTCGAAGCTGCTGATATCTTTCCAGAGTTTCACTCAGACTTTCTCCTAGTTCAGCTTTAGTAAAATTAACAGTGAAATCAGGGAATACCTCTTAAGCGTCTGATTTAGATTCAGATTCAGAAGATTCAGAGACATCTAATAAGTTGTCTGTTTGAGATATATTGGCTTGTTCATCTTCTGATTTTGTTCCGTCTTCAGAAGATTCAGAGTCATCTCATGTTCTTCTGGAGTTTCTGAAATTCTTCAGCCTGTGCTTATGCAACTGATTGATTCTTCTGGATAGAAAGAACAATTCGTCTTCTTCTGACGAGGATTCTTCAGAGTTTTCTGCTTCTGCTTCTGTCTGCAAAATTTTGGTTTCATATTTGTTAGATTTCAGAGCGAAAGACTTACATTGCTTCTGAGGCTCATCATCTTCTAACTCTATCTCATGGCTTCTGAGGGAGATGACAAGTTCTTCTAGAGATATTATGTTCAAATATTTTGCCAGTTTGAGAGCCGTGACCATTGATCTCCACTGTTTTGGTAAACTTCTGATGATTTTCTTTACATGATCAGCAGTTGAGTACCCTTTGTCCAGCACCTTTAGCCCTGCCACCAGAGTTTGGAATCTAGAGAACATTGTTTCAATAGTTTCGTCTTCTTACATTCTGAAGGCTTCATACTTCTGAATGAGCATAAGGGCCTTGGTTTCTTTTACTTTCATGTTGCCTTCATACGTCATTCTCAGAGAATCAAACAAGTTCTTAGCTGTTTCTCTGTCTGTGATTTTCTCATACTCTGAATATGAGATGACACTCAAGATAATCGTTATGGCCTTGTGATGATTTTTGAAGTCTTGCTTTTGATGATCTGTCATCCTTTTTATGTCAATCTTCTGACCGTTTTCATCAACAAGATGTATGTATCCATCAGTTACCACATCCCAGAGGTCACCGTTATAGGCTAGGAAGAAACTTCTGAACATATCCTTCCAGTAGTCAAAATTTTCACCGTCAAATATTGGAAGGCTGATGTAGTTATTGTCGTTTTCTTCAGTTGCCATTGTGTTTTCCTTCTGGATCTTTTCCTGATACAGTTAAGTGTTACGCTCAGAGTCAAGCTCTGATACCAATTGAAGGTGAGAAAACACTTAGAAGGGGAGGGGGTTGAATAAGTTTCTCTTTTTATTTTTCTTAAATGCTCAACAATAATGGAAAGACACAATTATTTTTATCCTGGTTCGTTTGAACTCAAACTACTCCAGTCCACCAGCCAAGGTGATTTCGCCTTTCTCAACAAGGACTTAATTCACTATAATCAAACTGATTACAATCACACAACAACAGTTGTGACTAACAATACAATGAACAAGTAAACTTACAAGTGACTAACACCACTAAGACTCAAACTAGTCCTAGCCTTCTTGAGAAATCTGACCAAACTTGGTCTCTCAAGGAATAATTACAAGAATTAAATCTTTACAGATAATGAAACAAATTGCTTCTTAAAAAGCTATATCACAAACTGTGATTTTTCACTAAGATTAGTTTTGCATAAAATGTTTGTAAAGTAATTTGTGATCAGCAGAATATTTTCACGTCATTAGCTAGTTGTTGGATTGCAAATGATCTTCTATTTATAGCATGAAGAAAATGATCGTTGCTGTCTTCAAAAGTGGAGAGCAATTAATGTTTGCGTGTTTGCTTGCAGTATTGCTTTTTCCAATGAACTAGCATAGACACTTGAGTGCATATAGCCGTCTTTGCATTAAATGAACAAATGACACTTGTCAGAGCGTGTTTCCTAAAACTTGACAAGACTTGTTAGCTTCTTTATTCTTTCAGAACTAGCTTCACGTCTTGCTTCAGAACATGCTTGCAAATTTTCCTTTTAAGCGCTTGCTTTTAAAGTACTTTTGATCAGCGCTTGCTTTGTAGAAAACTTCTGAACATGGTTTACATGGAAACTTGCTAAGCTTTAGAAGATGCATAAAATAGTTTCTTATCAGAGTCATCATCATAACTTGCGCTAAAACAAATAGTTCTTTCATCAAAGAACTTCTTCATTTATTTTCAGTTCATCACATCAAAATGATTTTCATCTAGGAAAATACTTATGTCAGAACATTATCTGAAACAAATAAATATGCTCATTAGAGTATCAATTATATAAAATATATTTTATTGTTATCATCAAAACTCTGAGATATGATCAGAACCAATCTTGTTCTAACACCAACAAGGAATTAAAAATGTCTGATCTCGGTGACATTTCATATTTCCTTGGCATTGAATTCTACAAGAGCAGTGGAGGTTTGGTGATGTATCAAAGAAGATATGCAAGTGAAATTCTCAAGAGATTTGAGATGGAAGAATGCAACTCGACTTCGACACCTGCTGAACCAAGACTGAAACTATTGAAAGATTCAGAAGAAGATGATGTCGACCCAACCCAATACAGAAGACTTATTGGGTCATTAAGATACTTTTGTCACACAAAACCTGACTTAGCATACAATTTAGGTATG